CAATCCCACACCAAGGATTTATGGTGAAAGTTATTCTAGGAATATGGTGGACAGGAGGAATCATTTTCATAATTCTGCTTAGACTCCTAGAATTTAATTTATCTTTCTTATATTACTGTATATGAATAACACATTGTTTTATACAGGTTCTCCCTGTGAAGTCCCATTTACACCTGTAAATGGGGATTTTATATGTACTCAAGATAGTGCTGGAGTTAACTGTACATTAAGCTGCTTGGACGGCTATGATTTCACAGAAGGGTCTACTGAGAAGTATTATTGTGCTTATGAAGATGGTATCTGGAAACCACCATATTCCACTGAATGGCCAGACTGTGCTAGTAAGTTTTTATTGATTTTCTGGACTCCTTTAGTATGTGTGAATATGTGTTTGACTGCCTACATGTGTACATTGCTAAGCATGAAAGAGAAAAATTGCCTTACTATAGGGATTAGGTTTGGTAAGTGGAAAATGGTGCCATAAATTCAAAAGATTGGTTGAATTCCTTGATTTAAAATATTAGCCACCAGAGTCTTGTTATGAATTGGATTGTTATAGGACAAGATTCAGTGTAAGACAAAACTATCTGGACCCTCTCAGTGTTATTTACCAGAACTATCTAAAGAGACTCGTAAACTTAAAGTATAATCTCATAGTCTGCAGAAGAACTGACATTTAAAATAAAAGCCAACATATGTGATGAAATGAGAGATCAGTCACATATTCTTTAGATCTGATTTATATTTAGAGCTATTCTAGAATCTTAAATATATAGTGATAAAAAGAATGCAATATCTTTGTCTACTGTAAACAATATTATCTGGAGTGAATTTTGACCCAGTACCGTAGGTGGAGTTTATATGCCCAATGTCCTGGGAAAAGAGTAAAGCCCATTTATTTGAGATTTTTTTCCCCNCACCAAGACTTAATGCACTAAAAAGTAGGATATGTAGCCATCTGTAATTGTCAAGAGCACAGACTCTGAACCCAAACTGCTTGAGTCTATATCCAGCTCTACCACTTAAAGGCCGTGTGACCAGTCACCTCCCTGCCTCAGTTTCTTCATCTAAAACATAGAATTGATAAATGTATTACCTCATAGGGTTATTGTGAGGTTTTTAATTAGTTAAGCTATGAAAACCACTTGAACTAGGGCCTGAAACATTAAGCCCTATGTATAAATATTGACATTTTGCTGTATTTGTATCAGATATATTTTAATATGTTTATTTTAAAATTCAATCCATTGAGTTAATTTTATTTTAAGAATTTTACATAACTTCTTGAAATAACTTAAGGTGTCTCAGACTGGCTCCTTACCCTAGAAATAATAGGTTTTGGCAAAAGCAGGTAAGACTCAAGTAAAACTCACTCCAATTCATTTCATGGTACTTAGTTTCTTTAATTGCTTTCTCAGTGTTGCTTTAAACATGAACGTTGCCAGTCACATGAAAAATATGTTGGATTTGTTTTTATGGTACTGTGATTTTAAACATGGAAACGTGGTTCCAAGAGTTTGCCAAGTTTTAATTTTTCACAATGAAGAGGCAGCATGGTGAAATGTAAAACGTGTACTCAATTGTCTAGCTAGACTCTAGCTGAATTTTCAAATTATGAAAGAGAGAGAGGAAATGAGAAGGAAGACAGAGCAGGAGAGGGAGAGGGAGAGGAGTGTTGGGAGCTTAAGGAAGAGAGAGACAGAGACAGAGAGAAACTATTCCAATGCCTGTATTTTCCTGTTTTCCTCAGCTGACAGGGTGTTGGTGTCATACTGATAAACGAGGGGAGGCCGGAATGCTTTAGCTGAGCATTCCAGAGAATGTTGCCTCACTTGCTTTGAAATGGACATGCTCTTTCTTTTGGAGACAGCGCGTCTGCTGGTACTTCCAGTTCTTTTGACAGTATTTTACCTAGTCTTACTGCTCTTTCAAAATACCTTGATTGAGCTTTAAAATGCTTGGCTAAAATCCAGTAAGTTCAGAAAATCTTGAAAAACATATCCATTTGCAATTTCTTTGGGGAAAATATTAATAGTAAATACTGCATACTTTTCAATTTAACTATGAGTTGACTTGATTCAACAATCTTAAAGTGCACTGACCTCCTGTAGCATTCCTTTGTTCCTTTCTTTATTCAACAATGTTTTCTGAGCACCTGTTATGCAACATGTGCTGTGCTATGCAGTGGACATCTAATGGTTCGCAAGAGACTCCATTGCTGGTCAACAGAGTTTACAGTCCAGGAAAGTAGTAAACCAAAGGTACTGCACTCATGAAATGACAAGCGTGAAGAAAAGAGAAGAATTAAACATTTATTTATAAGACTTAACTTAAAACAGAAATCTATATGTCCTCACAGTTTCAGTTCATTTCATTTCAGAGTATGTGTTTTCATATATTGCAGATAAAAATACCTTAGACTTGATGCCTGTAACTACGTATAATTCCCTAGTTTAATGACCTCAAGCAAGTCCCTTAAATTTGCTAGTCTGAGATTCCTCTCCTATAAAATTAGAAAAATAATCTGCCCAGTCTCCCTCGAAGGCATGTGATTATGGATATAAGAACATTTCA